GGGGGGGGTGAGTAATGATAGACATCCCAACTAGTCATGCAAGTTTGTTACTCCATTCTAGAGTGTTCCAATCCAGTTAGTTATCAGGGATAATTTGGGGAATAAGGGTGGAAGTAGTAGTATAAATGTAATAGGTGTGGGAGTAGAAGGGGGCATTGTTTGAGTGAGTTTTCTGTTAAGTTTGGAGGGAACTCAGGCCTCTCGAATTGCCTGTGGGATTGTCAATTGGTTATTCAGTTCAATAAAGAGTTGTTTTTCAATTCCAGTTATCTCACTTAGTTCCTCTGTTATATTAAAAAATTCTAGTTCCTTGCTCACAGTTGCTTGAATTCACAGCATCACAAGTTAGAGTTCTATCACATTCATGTATAGGTATAAAAAAAAAAATGATAATAATTCTCAGATTTTCAAATTTCATTCCTATGGAAAACAACCTACTCATGGGCCAAAAAGAACTGTATCCTTCAAGTCAATAGAAGGCCACTTTGTGCAAATTACTTCGAAGGCCCTACAACATGAAAATCAGGTTGCACTAGCCGATGTCTCTGTTTGCCAATTGATCAAACTGGGGTAGTTGATTGTCATCAACTTTGAAAATTTACATCTCTTAGGCTTAGAATGATGCACATCCAAATATCCCGACTTTTGCTGATCATCAGTGGATGTCACAAAATGAATATAACTATTTCAAGCCGCTGATTGATTTAACTGCATCTGTTCCTGAAACACATTCATCTTCTAAAAATGGAATTGTCTTCCACACTTTCAACTTGACTGGAACGGTTCTTTTCCCTACAAAAAAAACATACTACGTCAAACTTTTCTCTGTAGATATTTCTCTTAATTCGTACTAAATTCTGAGTAATACCTTCAACGGCACCAATATTTTCCATACAGATGGCTGCATAATGAGAACCAGCCAACTCTAAGAGCAAAAACTGCCAATTACTTGTAAGATCTATGGGGTCATCAAAAGAATCCACCACTATTTGCCAAGCCTGAGAGCACACTTGACATGTTAGCAGACAAAGTGATCAATTTTCAAATAATTTCGTGAAGAAACAGATACCGGTAAAGAACTGTCTCATGAGAAATATGAAATACAAGAATAGGATCCCGCTAATTTTAAGTAATCTAGCATGCAACTAGCAGGTGAGGACTCAGGAAAATTGGTGTCAAATGAAACATGCTATTTTGCACATGGAGTTCAAATGTTCACAGGAATATGAATGGGTTTTTCGACACCAAAATATTAACACATCAAGACGTGAACTTTTTCCTTTTCCTCCTCCTTTTGGAAAATAAACAGCATGTGGACTTCAAGCTTATTCAAAAATTATCCCTCTCTTCCTTTTTTTTCTTTCTTTAAAAAGAAATTTCCTAACCTCAGAATTTAAATTCTCCAATGGACTAAAGCCAGCTCCACCTTTATTCCGAATGGTAAATGTCTTGAAAGGTACACCAGAAAATCCCCTTCCTAGTGCTTTGACATATGCCTCCTGGAAATAAATTGACTTCAAGTGAAAAACTGTGAACTGGAGAAGGGCATTTCGATTAAGATTCATTAATCAATGGGTCCATGAAAGAAGTTAGAAGAACTAAAGAAATAAGATGCTTGACAACGAAAAGTTGATGAGTAAGACCTTGAGTGTCCATAATTTTACAAATTCCTGGCGTCGAATTTCAGGGTCCAAAATATCAGCTAAGAACTGAACTTCATCTTTAGAGAAATATCGACGAGCAAAAGACAAGATATTGTGTTTTATATTTCTGTGCTTTTCTTCCACATCAATGCCGATCTATATAACCAGACAGGCCTTTTCAGTTCATCGTAGCAGCAGGTAAAGAAAATGAAAAATTAAAGCAATTAAGTTACAAACTGATTGCATAAACCCAACGATGACAATGATCATAGTACTAACTTGAGAATTGATGGTTACTCCACAAGCTACCAAAGAAGAAGTGTGCGAGATGTTGAAATGCAAGGGAGATGATAGCCAATGATCACTGAAATTCCATTCTAGCTGCCAAAACATTCCACAAATGTTCAAAGTGTATGTATAGATAGCTGAATGATACTAAGTGCTTGTTTGCCTTTCATTATAATCTCCTTCCAGTTTAAATGTCAAAGTGAGACTTCAACTTTAACCAAACGTTTCTTAGAACCCACAATTACTATTTACTTATCTATATTCATTTCTATCACATTATAATTTCAGCAACTTATAATGGAACCCATATAAGCACTAAAAAGAGTAAAATTAATTTAAATCTAACCTCAGGCTTCCCATGAACGTTCTTTCTGAACCTCAATGATCTTGGATTAACTTGGGAGTTTATCTGATCTACCAAAAACAATTATTCTTTTGAGCAATTCACAAAGAATTACTTCAATCAAAAAAATAATTCACAAAGAAATTACTTCAAATTGTACATAAATATTCGTACTCCAACTTGAAATCGTAATAAGTACACGAAAATACAATATCTTGAAAGTAAAATAAAATGTTAAACATACATCTGGCAATGGTAGTGCGGACCAATGCACGAGCCAGCAGGGCTCTCTTCCTCGGCTCCTCGCCCCGCATTTGAAACACAGTCTCTTTCTCACATGGAGATAGAATATCCAAATACTGGTTCAATAAAGCTTCACTCTTTACTTCACTAGGTATAACATACCACAAATGGGTTTCCCTACAACCCAATAAAATCACAATTATATATCATCAAGTGTTAATCTGTAATCTAACAGTTTTATCCATAAAAGAGAGAAAACTGAAACAGAAAATGGTTAATATTAAAGATTACTTACATTGGTGAAGGGAGTTGAATGGGAGTCAACGTAGGCGAAGAGTGGAAGAATTTCCTGTCAAAGCAATGCAATTTCATTCTGCAATAAGATCCGCGCATCAGATAACAATTGAACTCACACAAATGATTAATATTTGCAGATAATAAACCAGAATTTAGGGGATGAGGGCGATGAGTTCGAAATTTAGGTATTGAGTTAATGACGTATTGTTTGTTTGGTTCAGTTGACAATAAATTGGAGTCCGACCCGGAATAGCTTCTCAAAGTTGTCGGATCTGTTTAGGTTTTCTCTTTTCGCTTATGGGAGCTTGGTTTGTATTTTTATTCCAAACTATCGACGAATGATATACGTACTATTTTTTAAAAAGTAGAGGTAATTGATATTGTTAAAGGGAAAATTACAATTGAGTATATTTATATATATTGTTAAAGGGAATATGTTGTATAAACTAAAATATAATGATATGATTACAATAATATGTTTTTGTAAACAATATTTTTTTTAGTGATCAAATGTCCCAATTAATATATTAATGCAACCTTTCAATTTTGTAACCTCAATTAAATAATAATCTAATGGATGGATTATAATGTAAATCATGAAGATTAATAAGGATTTTGTTGATGAAAAATAAAAAATGCTTATTTGATGGAAAATTAAAAATTGTAAGAAAATACTCAATTGAACGATAAGTCACTAAAATTTTGTTGATTTTTTTTTTTTTAAATAATTGGATGTCAGTTTCACTCATTATATTAATTCCAACCCAAATAATAAATATCAATTAAATATTTCACCACTTATATTAATTATAAATCAAATGATAAATATTAACTAAATTGGTAATAAGGGCTTTGTTGATGACAACTAAAAATTGTAAAGAAAAAAATCAATTGAATGTTAGTCATTGAATTTTCATTTGTAATTTTCTTTTTATTCATTGAATGTTCTCATTAATATACTAATGCAACATTTAAAATATTTGCAACCTCAATTAAATAATAACTTAATGGATGAATTATAATGTAAAGCATGAAGATTAAAAATTGCTCCGTTGATGAAAAATAAAAACTCATTGCATGAATTATAATGTACATCATGAATATTAATAAGAGTTTTGTTGATGAAAAATAAAAATTGTAAGAACAAAATGGTCAATTAAATGATAAGTCCCTTTTTTTTTAAATTTTTTGTGTTTTGGTTTTTTTTTTTTTTTTTTTTTTTTTTTTTTTTTTTTTTTTTTTTTTTTTTTTTGCTTTTGTTTTTTTGTTTTTGTTTTTGATATAATTAAATATTAGTTTCACTCCTTATATTAATTTCAATCCAAAATGATAAATATCAATTAAATATTTCACTCCTTAGATTATATTAATTCTAAACTAAATGATAAATACTAATTAAATTGGTATTTCAATTATGAGGATATAGTGGACATATAGTTAAATATGAAGGGGCAAATTTGGTATTTAAAAGTTCTCCACCATCCCCAGTTTTAATATATTGTAGATTAAGTCCATGTTTGGTTCAAATTCTTAAGAATTTATTTATTTTTAAACATTCTCAATGATACATTCTCTTAATAAAATTATTTTTGCACATGAACTCCTAACTTTTCATTTTTTTTAATCACACATTCTAAGAAAAATCACTTTTTATAAAATCTATTCTCAAATAATTTACATCATATTTGGTTTTAAGACAAGTGATCAAAAAGTTTAAACTGAATTCGAATGAGGGTTTTGTAGTTGATGGCCATGGTCGAAGTGATTGATTAATGCTTATGTAAGATCCTTTTTTGTGTGGCCACATAGATGCAAAGATAATCGAGTAGTGTGACAATCTATAGAGATTCGAGGCCATCTCCAAAGAATGCATTTAATTATTATTTGTATTTGAAATAAATTTCAATAATGTAAAAAATATTTTTTTATATTTAATAATCAATTTAATATTTTGTTGATTTAATGGGTATGATTTTTAGTTGGGTACAAGATTTAACGTAACATGGTACAAAACTTACCTCAAATTTTGGCATAAGGTTGGAGTTGACCTAAAGGCATTTCCAATGGATTCACCAAATCACCAAAATACACCAAATTTTGGTGTAAAATCTCTCCAATGTGGCCCCCAAAATTTGCATCATTTTGGTGCAAAATGAATAGTTTTGCACCATTTTGCACAAAATGGTGCAAAGTCAAATTTACCTCTTTTTATTCTATTTGCCAAACTAATTGATAGAGGATATTTGTGTTATTTGTTTTTAATACAATAAATTTTTATTATTATGATTCTTAATAATAAAAAATAAAGGAAAAATTGTAGCAAAGGCCCCACACCTTTAAAATATTAGCAGACTTTTCCCAAACCTTTAATTTGTTACAACTATCACCTCAAACCTTTCAAAATGTTGCGGTGGAGGCCCTTTTGGACGATTTTAATCCAAATATCTGTTAATTGACTAAGAAATATGATTTTGACCATATTTTTAATATTTTTGAAAGAGTAAAATAATAACTTTCCATTTATTATATTAAAATAACTTAGAAACCAAAGCAGAGTCCAGTTGATGATATGGTCGTCAATGGGACCAGAAGAATTGGTCTTGACATTCCAAAAATGGTGCCAAAGTAGATTCAGCTAGTGACCCAGCCTCCAACAACCGGCAAGGGTGTTGCAAACATCTACACCAGATTGGCATTTTCCATGTCTCCTTCTCCTATATCTCTACCTGTACCTTCGTTCTTCAACAAGAAGAAACAAAAGAGTGCATGCAAAGTGTTCGACGATTTGGCTATAAGAGATTCGAGGCGATTGTTTCGTCTTGAATCAAAGATTCGGGTGGAGGTGGAGGTGGAGGTGGAGGTGGCGATAGCCAGTAACTAATTTTGGTTTTGTGGTGGAGGTGGATGTGGGGATGGGGGTGAGAAGAAGAAGATTGTTTTTTTTTTTTTCTTATTTCTTATTTTTTAAAATTTAATTTCTAAGTAATTTTAATGTAATACTATTTTACTCTTTCAAAACTATAAAAAATATGGTCAAAATCTAATTTCTCAGTCAACTAACAGACATTTGAATAAAAATCGTCCAAAATGGCCTCCGTTGCAACGTTTTAAAAGGTTTGGGGTGACGGTTGCAACAAATTAAAAGTTTGAGAAAAATCTGTCAATATTTTAAAGGTTAGGGTCTCTGCTGCAATTTTTCCTAAAATAAATTTTTATATTTATTAATGAATTAAATATTTTCATTAATTTAATGTAATTGTTTATTTAGTAATTTAGTATTTGTAAAATAATAAAGATATCATTTTTCAAATAAATAAATTATTGAGAATAAAAAAAAAGAGAGAGAATAAAATGATTAAACATTGTTCATTGGTATAATGATTATGATTAAACATTGTTCATTTTTAGTTCGGTGTAAAATGATATAAAATTTACCTTAAATTTTGACGTAGAATTGGAGATTGCATAAGCAAACCGGAAACCTAAAATGAGGCATCTATCTTGGGAACTACTTCGGATAATATGACTGCCTGGTTATGCGGTGGAGATTTCCAATATTATAAATTTTCATTAAAAATCAACAATTTTTACAAATTAAAATAATTACGTTACTGGTGGAGTATCATTAAATGTTTTAATGTTTATTAAAATAATATTTTTAAAGTAACACATGTTAGTGTACGTTGTTATATATTTTGGGTAGCCAGTACATTCATGGGGTACTAGTAAATGTGTTACCACCATAACTACATATATTCTAACCAAAAGCAACCCGAACATCGCCAATCGTCACCTTCCATCACTACCGAAACCATGATTAGAATCAAACTCTCAAGCACTGTCACCATCTTTCAAATCTCACCCATGTTGCCATTAACTACAAGACAACACACGTGATAACACCATTATAATACGAAATATCCTAGCCAAAATCAACCAGCCACCACCTTTTGACACCTTTCGCCATCACAGCCACCCCCATTGGAATCAAGCTCTCAAAACATTATCACCATCTTTCAAATACCACCAATATTGTCAATAACGTTAAGGTAAAATACATTTTTACTTGTAGGGCACCATTATAACCCAAACATTTTCTAGCCAAAAACACGGCCAAACGACACCTTCCACCACCATCGATGCCAATAGCCGAATGCAAAATCCTGGTGTGACCAAATTTTTCTAAAAAATTCTTGGATTAAAAAAAATTATTTCCTTCGTCTCATTTATATAGGCCCTTATTTGAGCCACATTATATTCTTAAGAATGTATTTCTGAATAGTGTATTGATGGAAAATATATGGTTAAAAAAAAGAAAAGTTTTGGATTTTTGTGTGTAATATTATTTTATTGAAGAATGTGTGGTTGAAATGATGTCAAATCACTATTTAAGAATGTAATTTTTTTGAAAAAATGTGGCTCAAACATAGCTAGATTAACTTTCTTTATTTTCTTGTCTCATTTGTATACTCCCATTTTTTTATTGAGAAAGTATTTGTTTTATTTGATTACTAATATGTCATTATTTAATTTTCTTGATTATAATAAATTCCTCGCACTTGATCTTAAAATTGTACAGATTCTAATTTAACTTCTTAGAAGTATCCAAATACACACACATTCACACTTCTTGAAAATATGGACAAAAACACATTTAACCACCATTATTTACCATTAGTTGTTGAGAATTAAATAAGGGCGACCTAGGAAAATTCTTTGCAAAAATTGCTTTTTCAATAACATATAGCCCTTGTTTGATCCTCATTATTTTCAAAATATATTTTTCTCTTTTTTTTCAACCATACATTCTTCACTAAGATAATATTACACGTAAACCTAAATTTTTTCTTATTTTTTAACAACACATTCTCCATCAATCTGCTATTACAAAATACATTTTACACAAAAAAGGGGATTCAAACGGGCTCTAAATAAAATTTCTTAATTTGTGTAAAAAAATAAAATCAGCTTATATAAATGAAATGGAGCAAATGCATAGTAATCGATGTTGATTTCCATCGTAAAAGCCAATCTAGATGTGTATAGCCTAAAACTTCATGGTCTGACCTCCAGTCGGCAATATGACCACCCACTAGCAGTCACCTCCATCTAAATATCCAAAATATAAACATACTTAACATTCGATTGATGAAAATCATGTTTGTTTCCCAACCTAACTCATTATAATTACATAACATCTGGCCGTTGCAAAAGCAAACTAAGTCCATAGTATTTTATAAATGGTGAAGGTGTCGAAACTAAAGTTGATTCAAAAGTAATTTCACAACGTATAGAAGCCATTTTATTCCAGGCCCTTTTAAGGAACTGATCGAGTTTGCACATCTTAAATTTGACCTTTTTCTAAAATAAAGTACTTTACTCAACGGTAAAAAAAATTATGAAATTGAGCTAAAAAATAAAATATAAGTTGCTCAATTATATACCAATTAAAATCATATTATAATTACAAAATTGAAAACTTTACACTAGGGACGAGATACGAGAGAGGTCATTTGAGGAAACCTTCAAGAAAAAAGCTCGTTGTACATCACCATTTATATATTCTCCTACAGAATAATGAGGTGATGATAAATTGAATTAAAACTGTCAAAATCTCTTGACCACTTAAACGGTATGTAATGTGAGTTAATGGTAAAAAAATATTGGGAAATTTATTTTATTTTGTTGGTGAAATTTAGACTCAATCAATTATCTACTTTATCGATTGATAAACAAATATATAAATTGCAACGTACATGTAACACATTGCATTGCAAAAAAGTAGAAGAAAATGAATAAATTGAATTAGGTCCAAACAGCACCGGACAAGTTCTAGCGTGTTTCACATCCTCATTTTGAAATAAGTAACTTATCTTAAAAGCAACTCCAACGTTACCATCAAACTAAGAAAAATGCAATATCCAAACATGTCGATCATTTCATGATATGAGATTTGACATATAGTGTCATATGACATAAATAATCAAACTTGAGATAAGAGGGAATAAATAAATTACATAAACAAATAAAAATTCAGGTTTTTCAAGCTAAACAAGATACATTACACTGAAATTACAAAGTTCAGCAGCACGAAATAGAGAAACCACAGAATTTGTAGGACGAGCTACCGAAGGAAGTCTATAGTGAGAAGAAGAAATCTGAGATTAACTCCACGCAGGATTGAATAGCATATAAACGAATCCTTCACATGATCTCCAAACAGAAATCACAATGCATATAACATCTTCCATCAGTTGGCATATCTGGAGTCCCTGACATCGCCCAAAAGCATAACACGATGAATTTTACCTCCAGGCTTCGACTCGTTCTGTTTGTGAATTCAAAAGGCTAGTGATGCTTTTTTCCTTGCTCTTTTCTGAATTCTCAGGAACATGGACAACAGATGGCTGAATAACCTTTTTGGCACCATTCTTACTTGGTTGCCCCGTTTTAGTCCTCCGGCTTTTTGATTGGGATGGTCTACTTCTCGCAGAAGTGTTACCGCCTCCAACTCTATCCTTCGTCAAGTCAGCATTTTTCATCATATCGCCAGGGCAAGTCATGGCCGCATTTTCCTTTCCATCGGGAAGGATATTCTCGATAGAGCTTAGAAAACAAGGTGTTTCATTGCTAGTACAATTAAATTCTGCCCAAGAAGAGTTTTCTGCATCATTAGATAGTGGTTCATTTGCTGCATTAATTTGGTCGCCTTCACTTACCTCAATGGCCTTCTGGATTATTGGTTCGACAGTGCCATGATGATCGTCTTCATCAGCAGGCTCAATCTGTTTCGCACAAGCTACGTCTACTGCAGAATCTTCTCTTTCTCTCACGGTTTTCTCTATCAGAGTCTTGAGAAAATTCATTACTTGGACTGCAAACATTAATGCTGTCAAAGGGTCCGACATCTGCAGCCAGTAAAAATGTTAGCCATCCTCAAACGTAATGCAGAAAATTTATCCTCACACGAAAAAGAGATTGTTCTTTCTTTTTTGATGATACTTATGGGCTTAATTGATTATAAGTCGAGAGTCTATTTTCTACTCACCTGAGTCATGTTTGGTGCAAATACCATAGCTATATTACGTGCATTCATTTTGTTCAGATGTTCCAACTGAGCAACATCGGCCATCAAATTTACTGCCCAGTCCAATAGTGCAGCCTCTGTAGACGGTAGTAGCCTTGCAAGGTGAGTGCACTCGTCTTCTGATTGAGCCTGCATTACTTGCTCAGGTGAAAGAGGGTCCAACACTCCTTGTGGGAGTTCTCTAAACCAAGCCTAAAGAGCACCAACAGTGACGAGTTAAGCCATATTCATCAGATAAGCTAACAAATCGGAAATGCCATTATAATTCACTAGACACACACATAAAAGGGCGAAGATAAGAACGACCAGTAGAATAAAAGGCAGAACTAATTGTGTTGGAGTAGAATGGCTACTTAGTCTCACTTTAAATATCTATTGAATAATCTTAGAAATTATTAAATGTAAAGGCGTTTTGACAGAAAAAATGTACCCAGAAAAATTTAATTCGATCAATCGCAGAGGAGTACCTTAATAAGACCTGCTAAACAATGAACATCAATGTTATCCGGCACCTCTCCATTATTTAGTTGTTCCCTAACATACTCTTCCTGGCCATTCTCTGCGTTTATTCTAAAAATTCCTTCCGCCTGCAAATTCACATAAATTAATGCATTTTCTCTGAATTGGAACAGTACAAACATAGAAAGATCTTAACTACTTTGTCGAATATACTGTTTTTATATTAATTTTTCAACCAAAAAAAAAAAAAAAGGTTTTTCGGATTAAACATATTATGTTACCTGCAGTCCACCTTGGCAGTACAAGCGTCTTTGCATCATTAGAAGTATTGTAGGCACACAATTACCTCTGGAGTCGAAAGAAAGCTGCATAGATTCGGTTGAAACTCCAAAAACTCTTGTACTATACAAGAATAACATCAAAGTATAAGCACAATGTAAACTTGGGCAGCATAAATTATCAGACCAGCCAATCAAAAATCATGAAAATTTGAAAATAATGTCATTTTAGGGCCATAGTGCTTTTCAGATTATACAAACCACGCAACGCAATATACTAACTGTTCATTTCGCTTTTGCTTAACTCATTTCTAATGTCTCATATTTACCAGAATTAGGACTTTAACATTGATATATCTACCTAGATCATGGTATACTTCATCAAATCTTCATTAGAAAATGTTAAAAAAAAAACTCGTTTTCTTTGGGAAAAAAACACGACATGATAGTTTTACGAGGAATTTTTCATTCTCTATACCAAAATTGGTGTAGTGTTTTGACAGTGGATCCATTGATCCAATTAACAAATACTTTACAAGAACTCTTATTCATCTTCACAATTTCATCAAAAGAAAAGTTACACAAATAGCTATTTCCGTTTTACCGCTTCTTAAAAAATTTAGACTTCTATAACATATTTAACCAAAATGAATCCGACCCAAGTAACAATTTGAAGGGGGGCAGGGGGAGGGGGGTGAAATTGAAATCATTAAACTAACCTTGCACTTGGAGGTCTTCTAGGAACTTCAGGTTCAAACTCAACAGGGAGTCCAAGAAACCCATTGAACCTATCAAAGGTGACATGAGCTACATGTCTAACGTTCGTAGGCCAACCAATCTCCATCAGCCGCTCAACTCCGACACTCTCCGCCGTCGTACTCCGGCAGCCCACCAAAGATTTCCTAAAAACGCTCACAAAAACTTCTAAAACAGAAAACTGATCCCCGTCTCCTCCTTGTTGTTCTACCTCTTGTATACCATTATTTCTCCTGTAAAAAGCTATAGGGCGCCCATTATTAATGAGGGATTCATCGTTAAGAAAAGCCTGTTGGTGAAACCCATCATTGTTCGTGGGCAGTACACGTGTAATGGAGCTTGAAGTTGAAGACAAATGCAATATGTCCGTCATTTCTCTTGAACTGTCAATAGTGCGTGTTGTGTGTGTTTCAAGATTGGAGGGAAAATGGCAAAGTTTGGTGAGATTTTCTTATTTTTGAGTAAAAATTAATTGTAGACAGTAATGATGTGATGGGTTTGGTAGATTGCAATAGAGTGCTGAATATCGAAGAGAGGAGTAGAAATTGGAGAAGAATGCTTTGGGACTTTTGTTCAGTAGAGTTTGGTTCAAGTAAAGGTGATTTGGGCAGTTGAGACTTGTACGTCATCATTCATTCTTCGTTCTTTCTCATCTCTTTATATGTACATAGACGGCTTATTGTATGTAATATTTTATCCTCCCACCCTTTTATCAAGCCGTTGGTATTCGCTATTAGACGATTCTATACATATGGATGGTAAAATGTCTTACTTTTGCCCCCCGCTGCATTGTCCCGCTCCATTGGAGAATCGGGGTGGTGTCAAGAGCGCAATTCTTGTCCTAACTCATATTTTTTTATTTAAAATTTAGATATTTTAATCATGTATTGCCGTTGTCATCTTTAACTAAAATAATATGTTAAATACTTTTATTTTTGAATATCGTGGATTTTGCACTTGATCAATCAAGAATGTGAACTATTCAATCGTTATAAACAAAATTGCAAGCTTGGCCCCTTTGTAGAGAAAGATCTCTTAAATTAGTTCTTATATTTGATTTCATCATTTGAGCCTTAGTGGAATTTGGAGGGACCCCAATAAAATAATCTACCTTCTAAAGAAAGAAATACTGCGAATAATATTCATACAATTTTCTTTTAGTGGCTTAAGAAAAATTAAGTTAAGCTTCCTTTACATGCTGCTTCAAAATTTTAGTATGAGTTGTTATGTACGAGTTAGATTTATAGTTGACACGACAAGTTATCTAAAACACTAGGTTCAATCCGTTTTATGATTAGACTGTGCTTGCTGTACAACATCGTGTACAACATGGGTCACAATGAGGGGGCCCAGCCTTTTGGTCATTTTAGAGTGATAATATTTTTATATAACATGTACATAATCCTTTCTAGGAAATTGTAAATTGTCAATTTAAATTAATTATTGTCATAAAAATATAAAATAATTAGTAAGTTCTAATGTGAGTTAAACCATAAAGGGTTGAACTACTTGTATAGTCCACGTCGGATTGTACATGTGAGGGGACCCCACGCCTATTTTTATGACAATAATTAATTTAAACTGACAATTTACAATTTCCTAGAAGAGATTATGTACGTGTCATATAAAAATATTATCACCCTAAAACGACCAAAATTTGTTATTTAAAAGCGAAGACCCTACTGTAGTTACCTAAAAAGTTTATATGAATTATTAAATATTTTGTGGTTATTTCATAAACATTTTCTAGAGAATAAAATTATATTATTGTGGTTAATTATATATTAATTCAAACTTGAATATAACCTTAAATAAGCAGGAAAAAACAATTTTAATTTAGAAAGCATATTTATAAGATTTCACGTTGACCAGAAAAGGAAATATATATACACAGCTGGTATAAGCAAGGCAGCTACGTACGTATTTATTAGTGAAACTACTTCCTTAAAATATGAGTGCAATAATTTAATTATCTTTCAAATTGGTAATTAACATGTTAAAGATTTAGCCTCTACCAAATTTGGTTGCTTTCAATAGTCTCACCTACTGGCTGTTGAGTGCATTACTCAAAAATAAATAATATCACTTTCATTTAAAACGTATTTGATATACTCAATTGAATAATTTCACGATATAAATTTTATTTATAACACGTTTAGTATGCTCGACTGAATAATAGTGAAAATATGCTAAATATTAAACTATCATAAAATTGTTATATCAAATTTTAAATTAATATGCTGAGCTCCATTTCGAGAGAAATTTGTATTTTTGAATAGTATATTGATGGAAAATGTAGAGTTGAAAAATAAGGAAAAACTTTGGATTTACGTGTAATATTATCTTATTAAAATATGTGTTATTGAAATGATATCAAAACAATGTTTAATAATGCATTTTTTTCCGAAGAATGAAACTCAAAGAGGGCTTAAAATAGTAGATAAAACAAGGGGCCATGGGAGAGCAGAATGGCAAATTTGGAGTTGGAAAGGTAAAAACATCTGCTCAATCCAATACTCGCAGCCCCATCTCGAATGGACTGGATTACCGTCTAATCCAGTAAACGAGACGAATGTCATTGCCCTTAAGCAAGTACGAGAAAAATAGCCTCGTCGTGCTACTAGCCCATTTAAAGTTGACTTTAAATTTAAGTTTTTTATAAAACAAAAATAAAATATTTTTCATCATTTTTAAAAAGAATATAAGTTGTTTTTAACAAATTGAAAGAAAAAAAAAGTTAATAATATTTACCAACTAAAGACATAAAAAATAAAAACAAAAAATAAAATAAATAAATTAATTAAATCAAAAATTAAATTAGATGATGAATGAGATAGGAGACCCACCTCGTCCTGCTTTAACCGAGTATGAGAATGGGGTATGAGGACAAAAATACCACTCAGGGATAGGGATGGAAATAGTCGATCTGTCCCATATCCGTCCCGTTATCATTCCTAATTCAGAGAGAACCCATACATTTCCAATTACCACTTTTCGCTACATTTATTTAAAAATATATGAATTCTCCCTTGAATCGACTGATTAATATTTCAATCAATACGAAATTAAGATGTCCCACTTTTCAATTTTCACTTGTTGCTATTCTTAAAAGTCGAATGAGCTCTAGTCAGTTTAAAGTCGTTATTGTAATAATTTAATATAAATAAAACATACCCACAAAAATACAATCTAATCGCAAAATAAATTGCGAACGATATCTTGAACCCATAGAGTTGGGCACGAAGCATTTTTATTCCTAAGTAAATGAAGGTTTATTTATTTTTTTCTTTATATATATTCATTTTTTTTTTTTTTACTCATGGATTATATTCACAAATCACAATTCAACTAAAACGAAATAGTCACGACAAATTCTAAAGATATTTACGGAAATCACGTAACCTCGTCAAACTAAACCAGCATGGACTTCCATTTGTAAACATATTAAGGACCACAAACAGCCTTGAAAACGGGCTGTTGCCTATCGTTCGGACAGCTCAAAGCACAGAGGACACTAAAAATAAAGAAAAGCGAAAGTGGAGAAGAAAAAAGCAATTCATTTTACGAGAGCAAAAGGTGAAGGAACAAACGCTCTCCGCATAAAGCCGGAAACGGGTTTCACGGCCGGCAGCTGACCGTTATGGCTTCTTAAAACAATCACTGTTTCAAATTTGAACTTAGCATGGCGGGCTTATGCTTCCAGCATTGAAAATAAGGATATTTTGATAAAAGTTGATAAAATGTATAGTTGAAAATTGTAAAAATTGTGAATCCATGAAATATGTGATAAAAATTGAAGTTTGATCCGTTGAAAAGATATCACGAGTTTGACAATTATTATTTTCAAACTCTTTTTTATATATACTCATTTTCAACCACACATTCACATAATAAAATATTCTGATTTCTGTACGTAAATTTAATTTTTTTTCACTTTTTAACCACACATTCTCTAAAAAATCACTATTCAAAACCCCCTTTTTTTTTTTTCAAATAATGATTATCAAATAGGAGCTTACTAAATTTTTAATTATATTACACAAGCTGCCAATGTTTGAGCCCTATTCTTTGAACCTCATTTTTTCACAAACCCATTTGCAATCATACATTTTCACAATAAAATAATTTTGTACATGAATTCAAAAAAATTCATTTTTTTAACCACACATTCTTTACAAATATATTTTTTTTACAAAATTTATTATCAAAAAATGGTGCTCAAATATCTGTTTAGCATTAGATATTTCTTATAATAGTCATGCTACAGATTGACTTTACCAGAATTATGCCAAATTAAAACTCAGCAAAATTTCATTAGTAGTTGGGCAAAAAATATTTTTCAAAAATCCAATCATAATACGCTAACTCATTCTGTAAATCTAATTCTGATAAAATAATATGGTAAAATGGCATAAATCTTCTTATAAGTATTAGATATTTACAAAATCATTTTATAAGTATTTGCATGTAAGTATTTTTCATCTTTCAAGATGAAAAATAAGTTACTTATTTCAACACCAAAATAAATGTAACCTTTCTATAATAAAAATAAAAAATATATATTCAAAGAAACATTTTTAAAAGTAGAAAGTTAAAAACAACTTGTGCTAATTTTAATAAGCCAAATATTGAGTACTAGTTTTTGGCAACTTGTACTCTTATATAGCGATTTGTATATACAATTATTGTTAATGTAATAGGCAGAGTGAATAATTGTTTTGAACCATGCCAGTATAACAAGGATTTTTTGGTATGATAAAGTAATTAGGCTTCATTCATTTAAGGAATTCAACACGATCCCTCTAAGATTACAAATTGATTGCCATCTACTCAAACTGGTGTAGAATAGATGGTTTAGTGGATTGAGAAACAGTTGAATCGAAAAGGAAAAACAGTAAATTGTTAATTTGACGTTCGACCTCCAATTTGAGCTCATAATACCTTTTTGGAAAGGGAACAACGAGCCGGACTAAACACATTGCTTTGTTGTGACATTTGTTGGATTTTAGTCATCCAAGTTCGTTTAGAACTCAAAAACTGTTTTTTAAGTTTTAGTACTATTTTTGGCATTTAGTTTATTTCGAATTCTTTTCAATTTTAGTTCTTTTAAATTAGGTTTTCATATAAATCCTTATAAATAAAAGGTTATTTCTTCATTTTTAGGAAATTTTTTAATTAATAAAATATCTTGAGTTTATTTTTTTATTCTATGATGAATTTCAGTCGTGCATTCTTAAAGCCCTTGTTTAAGCCTTATTTTAGGGGAGAGAATGAATTTTTCAATAGTATATTGATGGAAAATGTGTGAATAAAAAATAAAGAAAAATTTTAGATTTGTCGTTAATATTATTTTATTAAAAAATGTGTAGTTGAAATTATGTAAAGCACTGTTGAAAAATAAATTTTTACCAAAGAATGTGGCTCAAACAAGGGCAAAATTTTTGCTTGAATTTCTTGTTTCACAACAATCGCCGTAAGCTTTGTCAATCCACAATTATGATGATCATAAAGGTCAATCTCTTGAATTGTTATACACTTAGAGCTGACTTTCATGAAATTTGAATCTATTTACTCTATCCTCAATCTTTTGACGATAAAGTAGAATTGTATGTCTAATAATTAATTTCAGGAAATCCCGGTTCATCACTTGACCCCATGGTCAGAC